GACAGAGAATGACTTGCTTGGTTCCTATTATCCCTTCTTTCCCTCCAATTTCTCCCATTTATAATGGAAATGTCTAGGTTGTGCCTGTTCCACCACTGTACTTTGGAAGCAGATAACTTGTATTCTCAATTTCATAGATGAAGAGGAATTTTTGGATTTTGGACCTGGAGTTGATATAAGAATTTTGCTATGAAATGATGGATTGAATATGTTTTATATGTGGCAAGGACATGAATTTTGGGGGGCCAAAGTGTGGAATGTCACTGATTGAGCTGTATTCCCTAAAAATATGTGTCAACTTGGCTAGGCCATGATTCCCAGTATTGTGTGATTGTCCACCATTTTGTCACCTGATGTGATTTTTCTATGTGTTATAAATTCTGTCTCTATGATGTTAATGAGATGGGATTAGTGGCAGTTATGTTAATGATATAGGACTCAATCTACAAGATTAGGCTGTCTCTTAAGCCAATCTCTTTTGAGATATAAAAGAGAGAAGCTAGCGGAGAGACATGGAGACCTCATACCGCCAGGAAACAGGAGCCGGGAAAATAGCGCATCCTTTGGACATGGGTTCCCTGCGCCGAGAAGCTCCTTGACTGGGGAAGATCGGTGCCAAGGACATTCGCCCAGAGCTGACAGAGAGAGAAAGCCTTCTCCTGGATCTGGCACCTTGAATTCAGACTTCTAGCCTCCTAGACTGTGAGAGAATAAATCTCTTTGCTAAAGCCATCCACTTGTGGTATTTCTGTTACAGCAGCACTAGATGTCTAAGATAGAATTTGGTACTGGGAGTGGAGTGCTGCTCTAACAAATACCTAAAATATGGTAGTAGTTTTGAACCTGTGAATGGATAGAAGCTGGAAGAGTTTTAAGATTGCCTTGAAGAGACTGTTGGTGGAATTATGGACATCAGAAGACAACTCTGGTGAGGACTCAGAAGGAAATGAGGAGAGCTGTTACAATGGAAACAGTGCAGACAGCGAGAAGTAGCAGCAGAGGACCAGCAGGAGCAAAACCAGGAGACCAGCACCAGATGGCACTAAAACTGATCCACAGAGCAAGAGAGCTGAGTGTGTTTGGCAGCAGGCTTCCTGGTGGAGTGGGGTACCTCTGGGTACTTATCAGTGGAGCCAGCGTTGCCAATAAATGGAGCAAGAAAGCTGAGTGCCTTCTGGCTAAAGTTTACTGGCAGAGTCGGGCGCCTCTGCACAATTATTGGTGGAGCTAAAGAGCTCAGGAACACTTGCCCTAGCAGGACAAACACGGGCCACGAGGTCTGAGGGGCTGAGAGGCCAAGGAACCAGGAAGCAGAAGTTGAAGAGATGAGGAATATAAGAAGCAGAGCTGCCTAATCTCAAAGGGTAGAGTTGCCACTCAGATGGACTAGGAGATTGGAACCGTCCAAAGCCGAGGGAGCAGAGTTGCTGTTCCAGTGGGCCTGGAAGATGGAGCTGAAGCCCAGGGCCAAGGAGCCTCCACTCAGAATCTGGAGAGTGTGGCCAACACCCAGAGTTTGGAGGGCAGGGCCACTGCCTAAATGGTCTCAGAGAACAGAGGATTATTTTCAAGCCTTGACGGCTAATGCAATGTGCTATGCTGACTCGCTTGGTGACTATTATCCCTTCTTTCCCTCCAATTTCTCCCATTTATAAGGGAAATGTCTACCTTGTGCCTTCCTGTTGCACCATTGTACTTTGGAAGCAGATAACTTGTAGCCTCGATTTCACAGATGAAAGGAATTTTTGGATTTTGAACTTGGAGTTGACTTAAGGCTTTTGCTATGCTATAATGAGGTGAATGTGTTTTATATACAGCAAGGACATGAATTTTGGGGAGCTAAAGTGTGGCATGTCATGGATTGAACTGTGTCCCCCCAAAATATGTCAACTTTGCTAGGCCATGATTCCCAGTATTGTGTGATTGTCCACACCATTTTGTCATCTGCTATGATTTTGCTATATGCTATAAATCCTACCTCTATGATGTTAATGAGATGGGATTAGTGGCAGTTATGTTACTGAGGCAGGGTTCAATCTGTAAGATTAGGTTGTGTCTTAAGCCAATCTCTTTTGAGATATAAAAGAGAGAAGCTAGCAGAGACAAGGGGACCTCATACCACCAAGAAACAAGAGCCAGAAGAACAGCGCATCGTTTGGACCCAGGGTCCCTGAGCCGAGAAGCTCCTTGACTGGGGAAGACTGAATACAAGGACCTTCCCCTAGAGCTGACAGAGAAAGCCTTCCCTTGGATCTGGCACCCTGAATTCGGACTTCTAGCCTCCTAGCCTCCTAGACTGTGAGAGAATAAATTTCTCTTTGTTAAAGCCATCTATTTGTGGTATTTGTTGTAGCAGCACTAGATGTCTAAGACAGTATATAAAGTGGCATGAATCTGAGGTCACTTCACAATAGCATACTCAATAACATTATTCGTCATTTACATGTTTCTGTGTTGTTTTCAATGTACTTCCACTTTCACTTCATATTAAGAACAATACTTTGAGGGAGTCTAAGCACGTGGTATACCTCCATTTTACTGATGAAGAAAATGTGGTTTAGAAACCTTGAATATACTCAAGTTCACAGGGATAGAATTGGAGTAGATAAGGGGCCACATCTTTTTGAGTTCTTGTCTAGAGTGCCTTCTACTTGGCTTCTGACTGTCTTCCTAACTTATGATAGTACTCAAGTAGCCAGGACAACAACAGATACTTGTAGTTCTTGCTCTCTTATACTGAAGAGCTAATAACTAAAGACAGTCAACAGAGTTCAAAGAGGCTTAGAACATTTCCTTATATTCTACAGAAAGCACGAATTTCCCATGGCCATTGATACTTTTCAGATCTTATTAAGTACACAAAAATAGTGGTAAATCCTCTCCTCAACTCTGTGTACCCAAGTAGACTGATGTATTAGAAGCTCTGTGGAAAGACTGAAGGAAATTGCATTTATCATCAAATGCCTTTCTAGTTCTAACACTATAAAGATGTGATAACTCTACAGATTCCGTGAGTAATGAAGAAATGCAGAAGTATTTACATATCAAAAATAATCAAAATGTTTAAGAACATAAATTATTTCACCATTATAAAATGATACTTATTTACATGATTTGAAAAAGTGTATTCTAGTTAGTCTTAGGAAGATTAAAATTATCTAAACTAGAACTACCAGAGAAGGTTTTTTAAAGTAGATTTTAACATATCCAACACCTAAATTACATCATAAATTTCCTCACTACTGTAAGAAAGCTCCTAAGAGTCGCTATGATATAAAGGGCACAAATCTCCTATACCGTTTTCTAATATAATTTCAAATCTTCAATAACAGATTGACGTAGTTGTTGAGAAGAGAATTTAATGACTGATTAAACTTAAAAAAAAAAAGTGACATTTGATTTCAGATGGCCAGAAAAGGTATCAGTATCATGAGGAAAGTCTAGAATAAATTTCTGCAGAGGACAGATGGTTCTAACACAAAGGTACAGGCACTGAGTTAATTCCAAGCTTACTATAAAAGTAAGTGGATGCCATGGAAATGGATCTAATGAATAAATGAGGTAACAGAAAGCATTTTTTTTTTTTTTTTTTTTTTTTAGTATTTCATGATAACTGTATCACATACAAGAACTCATTTCACTGGGGACAATTCCTAGTTCATAGTGTTTCCTAGGCAAATGGTATAACCTAAAAGTTTTTTTGTGCTATTAATAAGAACTGCTTCCAGGTAGATTTTGCTGGAAATGAGGACACTTACATCCACTTACAGAGCTTTTTGTATAGTTGTTAAAACACCTTTGTTCACTTACTATTATAAATACCACACTGGCCATGATGGAAAAATTAGAAAATATGGGAAAATATTAAGGAGAAAATAAAAGTCATTTATACTTCTACCACAGACAGACAATTTCAAGTGGATTTCTCCTTCTGTCTCTCTCTCTCACACACATACAATACACACAAGAGTATTCTTCATTAACACACAAGTGAGATTACTATGTAGTCTTACAACTTATTTTTTTAAACAGTTCTAATGAGATATAAATGACTATAATAAATTGTACATAAAGTATACAATTCAAGAAGTTTTGAAATATGTATATACCTATGAAACCATCATAGTCAAGATCATGAACATATCCAACATCTTTAAAAGATTCCTTATACTTTTTATAAATCCTTACTCCAGCCTCTCCTCCTACCCTACGGTCCCCAGGCAACCACTGATCTGCCTTCTGTCACTATATATTAGTTCGCATTTTCTATAATTTTCAACGTGTCAAAATTTAAACATTCCTCTATATCTAGACATTTAGGATGTTTTCAGCTGTTCACTATCACAGACTAGAATTAACAAATATAAAGCTATTCATATCTTATATCCCTAGGAAAAACTTCTTTTAAAAGTGGAAGTAGTACCCCCGAGACTACAGCCTCCGGGGTACCCTGCTAACTCAGAACTGAAGCCACTCCTGAAGCCCACCTTTCAGCTAAAGGCCTATAAAACAAATAACACACGTGAGGAATGTGCTTCTTAGTTCAATAAAGTACACAAGACCAAATAGGCAACATCTGCCCAAAAGCAAAGATGATAAGGCAGGAAGGGATAGGAAAACTAGATGAATGCGCATGGGGAACCCGGGGCAGAAAAGGAAAGGGGCAGAGTGCCGACACACTGCAGGGACTGCAACCAATGTCATAAAACAAGTTGTGTATAAATTTCTGAATGAGAAACTAATATGTGCTGTAAACTTTCATCTAAAGCACAATAAAATTTAAAAAAAAAAGCGGAAGTATTTGGTCAAAGCATATGTAACATTTTAAGGTTTTTGAAATGTTCTGAGTAACTGCAATCCATTAAATTGAACCTATTTAAACTGCCATTAGTAATGTGTGAGAGTACCTTTTTTGGGGGAGATGTTTGATTTCTACTGTAATTAGCCTTCAACAGAGAGTATTCAGAAGAATCAGAGATAACAAAGCAATCACCTTCTACCTTTAATGATGTGGATGCCTGCTAAACCATTGAGGGCACAAACTAGCTGCCGGTGCGCTTCTTCACATTCAGTTCCACATTTCTTCTGCAGAGATGTCAGTAGTTCTTCCATTGTCATGGTGCTAAAAGAAAAAGTAGATTGTTCAAAACTAGAGAGAAAGTCCCACGTTATTTCTATATGAGTATTGTATTACATAAGAGACTTGTACAGAATTTTTGCAATATCCTCAGCACCTTCCTCTTCACCTCTGGTTTTACAACTATCACCCTTAACTCATTTGTCATTACCTCTTACTTTCAGCAAGCGATCTTCTATCTGATCCCATCATTCTTAAAGCTTTTTCCACTTCAGTCAATAGTGTAGAATGAAGCTAGGAAAATCTTCCTCAAGTACATTTTAGAAATATTATGGGTATTAGAACGTAAGACTCCATTTGGACCTTAGCATTATAATTTATTTAACCTCTTGAGACTAAAAGCTTTTGTCTGTAAAAAGATAAAGCTCCTCCAGAGATCAGGTCAAACGACACTTCCAGCAAAAGGCTATCTAACCCTAACCACCTAGTCAGAAATGGGTTTTCCTACTTTAACGGCCCATAGCAATTTATATGTACTTCTTAAAAAACTTATCACATTTGTCTTGTATTATAGAAACCTATAATCTTGTCATCTCCCTTACTTGTCTATAACCTGCTTAAGTGCAAAGACAAAATCAATTCCTCTTTATATTTCTTATAGCACCTGAAAGGGTACCTTGCTAATACCAGGTGCTATCAAAAGGTCAGTTCCAAAATCACAGTCTGATCCACAAAGAAATTCCTGGGATAACAGAGTATTGTGGATATAAATGCCTCAATGTTTTCAGAATGAATAATCAAAGAAATATAGTCAGCACAATTGTAAAGAAAATATTTAATGGTAAATATTTAGTGAGAATGGAAAATATTGAATGCTTCCCCTGATGTGGGAAGAAATAATAAAACAACAAAAAGCCTTTCATAGTTGGACTGCAGCAATAAAAAATGACAATAATACTAATTTTAAACGTTCAAAATCATGAAAAAAATGGGTGATGTGATTTTCCGTCACAGATGGGATTCTATAACAAGGAAAAATCCTCACACTGCTAAAAATAACTGACAAATCAGTAACAAACCTCTGAATGAAATTTTAGTGGTTCTTCAGTTAAAGATTAGGGCCCTGGCAGCACAGCGGTTAAGCATTTGGCTGCTAACTAAAAGATCAGCAGTTCAAATCCACCAGCTGCTTCTTGGAAACCCTATGGGGCAGTTCTACTCTGTCCTATAGGGTCACTATGAGTTGGAATTGACTGAATAGCAACAGGTCTGGTTCTGGTCAGTTAAAGATTAAACTATATTCTAAAAATGCATGCTGAATTTTTACAAAGTTAGAGGGAAATGGAGAGTTACAGAAATATTATACCTTAATTATCACTTAATAAGATTGCCAAATTTCAAAGTTCCAGCCAAAAATTCAATTTCTATTATCTACAGTTTATGTGATTATTTTATACGTTTCATGAGAAGCTCCACCTAAAAAGACAGAAGATATACTGCTTTAGGGGGACCAAGAGAAGAGTAAGGAGGGACCAGTCCCTGGAGAAGGACGTCATGCTTGGTAGAGAGTCAGCGGAAAAAAGGAAAGACCCTCAACGAGATGGACTGACACAGTGGGTGCAACAATGGGCTCAAGCATAGCAATGATTGTGAGGATGGTGCAGGAGAGGGCAGTGTTTTGTTCTGTTATACAAACGGTCACTATGTGTCGGAACCAACTTGACAGTACCTAACAACAACATGAGTAAAGCTGCGTGGTGAAACATGCAGAAGTATAAGCTTCCTTCATTAAGTCCCATTTCTTTTGTTCACCAAGGAGCCGTTAAAAACAATTTTCTTTTTATTATTTATTCAAATACATACATGCCTTGACCCAAGTCTCGAGTAGACAATTAAAAGAGCAAACAGGATCGTCACAAGTAACTTAGTCAATTCCTACAAACGAATGCCTCTAACCAAGGGGTGTGTGCAGAAAAGAGTTAAAGCAGGCCTAACGGCTATCCTTTAAAAGGTTTGCTTCCAAGATTGGCCTTTGGCTGGCATCTGGGAACTTGGATTTGGGGAAGGTTTCCACCATTCCCAGAACTGATGAGTGTGGCTCACTGTGCTTCAACTGTGTGTACAAACAATATGGTTTATGCTGAATATCTGCTTTCCTTCTGGGAGTTTGGAATTTTGATACAGTCCCCAAGAGAAACCCTGCACTGAGTCTCTAACAAGCTTCCCTGACAAATAAAATGTTCCCTGGTTGGCATCATTTCACACATGTTGTGATAACTCACGTCACAACTCACTGTTGGAGGAATTAAGTGCATCCTATGAGACTCCACTGACAGAGGATGCTTGAGCCTGGTTTCCCTCAGACTTTGCTCCATGTACCTCTTTCCTCTACTGGCTGTGCCTGGTAGCCTTTCCCTGTAATAAACCACAACTCTTGAGTACAACTGTATGTGGAGTTCTCCAAGTGAATTACTGAACCTGAGGTGGTCCTGAGGACCTCTGAAACTGTGTGTTTCCCCCACTGTCCCCATAACTTCACTCAGTATCTTAGCCTGTGTTTTTATTCTTCCAGTATATTTGTTAAGCCATTATATTCCAGAAATACTGCTTCTAAAAACAGCAGTCTAAGTTCAGGCTATTCCTAGTGCACTTCAGAGGTATGTTAAGTTTAACTGCCTAGGTTACTTAGTATCTTTCTAGAAAAAAAATCAGGCCAGAATTAGACAAATTTCTGTTTCTGCTCTGTCTTACTCCAGTCATAACTTCTTTATAACCCTGGAGTAAAATGCTAATAAATGATGATGCTACTGTGCCTACCTCTGCTGTGTCTGGCAGATGCAGCAGAATGACACTAATGACATTAACGTGACTTCTGGTCATTCACTGTGTTCTGAAAGGTATCACTAAGAAAACAGCAGAGCAGAAAACACCACGGACTGTCGAACTGATCCAGATTAAGGAACAGAAATCTATAACCAATAGCACTGTGTACAGAAGAGAAGCCATACAGCATACAGTTAAGTATGCTCAGTCAAACACCACTCATGGAGTCAGAGGTACATGAGTTTGAGTTCAGGCTCTGCCACATTCAATGTGGCCCTGAACAATTTAACTAACCTCTCTAAGCCTTGGTTTTCTCAACTATATATGGAGACAATAAGTGTACAACTGGAAGATTTTTTAGGATTAAATTAGTTAGTGTGTATAAAGTGCTTACCCCAGTGCCTGACAGGTAATAGTTAACATTTACTGTGTGCATACTAACATTATATATTACAGTGAATACAGTAGTCCCTGACTTATGATGGGGTTCCGTTTCGACAACTACCCCCACGTGAGTCGAGTATCTCATTTCTTTTTACATTATTATTGCCTTTCATTATCAGCATCTTTATAAATCCGATCTTTATTTTGTCCTTGGGAGTTGGAAACATTACACCTAAGAATGGTAACATTAGCAAATCACACGCTTCAACATTGTATGTCGTACGTATTACTAACAATAAGACGTACATAAAACCCCAAAAACCCGTTGGTCGTGTGGTTCGTGGTAACTTACATTGTAAGCTGGGGACTACCTGTATAATAGTTTTAGGACTGAAGTTTAGTACTATGATTCTCACCCTTTGTTTAACAGATACTTTAATGTCTTCTATTAGGCAGAGGAGAGTCTAATATTTTTAAGTGCTCTGGGAAGCAATGCTGTAAGAAGTTTCTTTAAGGTGGGGAATAGAAGAATAAAAGAAAACCCAAAAGTCCTTCACACGACATACTGATAATTGTCAAATGCTCAATAGGTGCCACACTGGCAAATAAAAATGTCCTGATTTGAACGAAGTATAATAAGCATACTATGCTATATCTTTAAGCAATCTTCCAAGCAGAAATGCTGCATTTCTGATATAAGAAGATCACCCATAGCCAATAAGTAAATTATTCATGGAAATGCACTAATACTTCAGTCAAATACCATTAATTTATGTTTATAAGAATGACTACGGCATCCCTATGCTAAAGCATCTTCCAATGTTTTCAGTATTTTTCTTTGCTCTAAATGTTGAAAAATGAAATCTGGTAGAATAGACTATTTACAGACAAATATGAGAAATGTAGTAGATAAAAATTGATTTTTATCAGTTGCTTTTTATCAGCTAATTAAGTGTTAGTATGGATGACAGTTATAAGTTACTGATCAAAACAATCAAGTGCAACTTCTAAAAGGATTGGTAGATACGCACTAATTTTAAAAACCTCCAATAAAACAACTCCTAAATACCACAACTGGATTCTTACTAAAGGAAAAAAAAAAAAAAAAACAACTTAAGCTTTCCAAAGTCCTTGATATAGATTGTTCTTTAAAATAATCCCAGTTTTACAGTAATAGAAAGGTTAACTGCCTACTCAGTCTATAACTCAGATCTTCTAGATTTCTAGTCTAGAGACAATTCTATATACCAACCAGATGTCAACATTCTTCAAATATACAGACAATCCAACTGTAATTATGCTTTGGTATTAAGACTCTGGGAACAATACTTGTACTTTTGGTTGGCCAGGAAGTTGATGGCTTAAATATTGTCTGTTACTACTTTATTATTAATAACGCTATAAAGAAATTGATAATAAAACCTTTTTTGGAGTGGCAAGAACTCCCCACGAACAGCCTGTGGGTGGCAGCAGGCCTGCCTGAGCCTCAGCAGTGGATACAGGATGGAGGTGACCGTCCGTCTGTCCAGGCTGCTGAGCTTCAGAGCCCAGTCAGAAATCTTCCTGAGCTTTGCCACCGCATCCTGGCAGCACACCTCATGCTGGCGGTGATAGAAATGTCTTTCCACTGGAGAAAAGTGGAGCCAGTGAACTTCTTCCGTCTGAGGTGGGATCTGGATCTGCAGAGAGGAGAAAAATATGATTTCACCTGAAAATACAACTTTCCATCCCAATCTGTTGTTTTGTTTTGGTTTTTTTTTTCCCTTATAATATCCTTAATAAATGAAAAATTATCCTACTGACTTGGTCAATCACATCTTTCTTTGCAGACCTCCATAATATCTTGGCAATAAAGCTGTAGAGGGGCTGAGGATTCTTCTTGCAGTAAGGGCGATAGAGAAGTCGAACCCACCAGTGTCTGACACAGTAAGGCTCAATACCAAGAAAGACCACTAACCCATAAAGATCTGAAAAGAAAAAAGAAAAGAAAACAAAACAAAACACACATCAAAAATAGCTGTTTCTCAAAAGGGCAAATACTGTACAATCCCACTTACATGAAATATCTAGAATAGGCAAATGCATACAGACCAAAGTTTATGAGTGGCTCAGTCTGAATCCACCAGGTGCGCCTTGGAAATCCTATGCGACAGTTCTATTCTGTCCTATAGGGTCGCTAGGAGTTGGAATCAACTCAATGGCAATGGGTTTGGGTTTTTTTTTTTTTTTCCACCAGATCGGGGTGGGAGGGGGGAATAGGGAATTATTACTTAAGGAGTATGGAGTTTCCGGTAAGGGTGATGAAAAAATTTGGGAACAGAGTGGTGAGGGTTGCACAACATGGTGAACATAATTAATATCACTGAATTGTACGTGTAAAAATGGTTGAAATGGCAAATTTTTTAATATGTATTTCACCACTATAAAAATTAAAAAGAAAAGCTGTTTCAATATATCTTCACTACCAGTGTGAATAATTGCTTTCATAAACATTACATATCACATAGTACTTTCCATGAATTAAAATGTGGATTGCATAGGCTCTTGAATCTGAAATTTGATTCCAATTCAACTTATATTTATTGACCATCTGCTCTGCTTTAAGTTCTGTGTTAGGTTCTAGAATGTTATAAAGTTTATGAATCATTACATAAAACTTGTACTTAATTCAAAGGTCTACAATTTCCAAGTAGTAAAACCAGAAAACTACTTAATTGATTGTGTTCGATCAAGAGATATATAAAAAGTACCACAATCTAAAGCTAATAAACACAGGGCCTGCTGGATTGGGGTAGGGGGGTGGAGGGAAGCTCTAAGCACAGAGGTAATGTGGAGAACATTCTCTGATTCAATAGTTCCTGTACTCTGATCTAGTAAATCCACTTTCAGGAAACAAGGCTAAGACAATAATAAAAAATACAAAGATTTTATACAGTGATGTTCACAGCAAAAATATGCAGAATAAAAATCTCCCAGATAGGGATAATAAGTAAATTATTGTACCTCCATAAAATAAAACTGTTTTTCTTTTCTGAAGTTCTAAACATGTGGAAAATTGCTTAGGATACAATATTGAGTGAGAAAAAAATGGAAGATAAAATTATGCACATAATATGCACCCAGAAATATAAACATATATATATAAGAGACTAGAACAGTGGTTACATCTCCAAATAAAGATTATGGCTTAGTATAACTTTTTTGATAATTTTCTGTATTGTTGAAAATTTTCACAATGGGCATACATTCCCTTTAGAAGCAATTAAAAAACAAAACAAAAACTATCAGGACAACACTTATTCTAAAGGTGACCAATAAATATTTAGGTTGAATTAAGTTATTCTGGTGGTTCCTGGGAGTAAGGTGACACTGGGAAGAACCAACACATCATTGCCTATATGCAGAGATCCACAGATTTATATTTTCTGCTCAAATTGATCCAACTGCCTATGTGATATCACTTCTTTGAGTTTCCAAAGGCGCCTCAAACTCAACCTCTCCAAAACCAAACCCATAATCTTTCTGCCCAAACACACCTCTTTTATTCATCATGAATAGTGTCACCATCCACGGAGTTATGCAAGTCAGAAATCGCCTAACCTATCACCAAATTTTGTTAATTTTTCCTTATCTTTCACACTTACCTACTGTTTAAAATTTCCTCAGTAGTACAGTAGCCCAAATCACTTGTACCAAATTACTAGCATCACTTGCCTGGATTACTTATGTAGTAGCCAACCGACAGCCTAATATCAACTCAGCTGCCCGTCTAAACCATTTTCCACACTCTAACTAGAGTGATCTTTTGAAATGCAAATCTAATCATGAGATCCCACTCCCCAACCCCTATGTCCAATTTGTTTAAATCCTTTCGATAGCTCCCACTGCTCTTAAGGGGAAAAAAAAATCTCTATCATGGCTAGGAGGTTCTCCACGGTCCCACCTTCACCCATTTATTCAATCTCTCAAAGCACCATGCTTTCCCTAGCTCTCTGTACTCCAGCCACACTGGTACTCTCTCAGTCTCCTCTTGCCGTAAGATCTTTATATTTTCTGTTTCCTCTACAGTGGAGAATTCTTCTCTCCCCTCTTTCTTTACCTAGCTCATGTTAATGTTTCAGCTCTCAGCTCAGTTGTCACTTGCTTCTGCATCTAGGTTAAATCTCCCTATTCTGTGAACTCAAAGAATCAGATTACTTTTTATGAAATCTGTTACAGTTAGAATTTTATATTTATCTATGGAAGTTATCTTGATCGCAATTTTATTTATTGCAATTTATCTAAACCAAAAACCAAACCTGTTGCCACTGAGTTGATTCTGACTCATAGTGACCCTGTAGGACAGAGCAGAACTGCCCCATAGGGTTTCCAAGGAGTGCCTGGTGGATTCCAACTGCCGACCTTTTGGTTAGCAGCTGTAGTTCTTAATCACTACGCCACCAGGGTTTCCATATTTATCTAAGTACTTCATAAATATATCTTCTCCTCTAGGCTTAGGCTGTAAACTCTATAAGGTCAGGAACCTTATCTACTTTTGCTCACCATTATATATTCTCACAAAGAATAAAAGAACCAATAAAGGAGCCACAAAAGACTTATATATGTCAACATGCTATAAGAAATGAAAATAAATAGACAGCTAGAAAATAAGAACAACAGTAGCAGCAGTGGAAGCAATTTCTATTAATTGAATACTTAATATGTGCTAGGTATTATGTTAAATGCTTTGCATACTTTATTATAATTAATCCTTAAAACGTTTTGTCTTACAAAGGAGAAAAATATGGCTTTTAATGTTTAAATACTTTGTTTATGGACATATACTAAGTCAGGATATAAACCCAGGTTTACAAATCCCCCAAAGCCAATGCTTTGTATATCCTCCAAACAAGTACATCATATAGACAAGGAATGGTGAAGGGTAAAGGGAGAAATGGGCAGAGTTCTTGCTTGTCTGACTTTCCAAGTAAACTGACATTATCTCAGCCTGCCTGCAGAAACACACAAAAGGCCTGGCAAATTATGGAATGAAAACACTCTAGCCTCATTTTCTTGCCCAATATGTATCCAACCTGCGACTCACTAGATCTCAGGGTTACTGCCAATGAAGAAATCATCAAATCTCTTTTAGTCTAGCTTAGTGGTTCTCAACCAAGGTGGGAGTGGAAGGGTATGATTTTGCCCCCCAGGAGATACTGGGAAATGTCTGGAGACATTTTTGGTTATCACAACTGGCACCTACAGGGTGGAGGTCAAGGATGCTGCTAAACATCCTGAATTCACAGAACAGCTCCTCCCAACAAAGAATTATCTGGTTCAAAATGTCAATAGGGCCGAGGTTGAGAATCCACAGTCTAGGACAAAAAGAAAACAAATGAGACTTCCACTTCCAAATACAATACAGTAAGTCACAATAGGCCAATACCACTACAACTAGGGAAAGAAAAAACAAAACAAAACAGATCCATTGCAAATATTACAGTGTAAGAGACATCAGAGAGTTATGGAAGAAAAGAGGAAAGATAACCTAAATTTCTAGGAAATTTGGAAAAGTCCTTCTTTAGATTAGTTGGAGGCATGCAGAAACTTTTGGATGCGATTATCTTGATTGCGGTAATAGTTTCACAGATGTACATATATATCAAAACTTCCCAAATTTTACACTTTAAATATTTAGTTTCGCTATGTCATTTATACCACATAAAGCTGTTTGTTTTTTTTTCTAAATTGTTCAGGAAAGAATTTGCTGAATGTTGACAAGTGCTCAAAACACCTGTCAACATTTTTCACATGCCAAAAAACCTGTCTAGCGACCTGAGCAATTACTGCTTATATTCTTCTGACATTACAATTAGAAAAAAGGAACTCCAATGGTCCTTGTTTCCCCCCGTACTTTCTCAACTAACTTTTGAACTGAATGAGATCTTGTTAACACTTAAATATTTAAAATTTTTAGTTTCCAAATCTGAAAGCAGACCACTAAATTTGGCCTTTTAATAAGCCTGACGGTGCCCTTTAAATATGCATCTTAATGTAACATTAAATTATGCAAATATTTAAATAAGTACATCTTTCTAGAAAACTTTCCCTCTAAAAATGATTTAAAAAAAAGTAAGTTTTTAGGTAACAATAATGGATGCAAACACAATATATATAAGTTTCGAGGATAAATATTTACCACAGGACTCACATTTAAATTTCATAATTTAACTACAAGTTAATTACAGCTTTTCAGGATTTTATTATGTAAAATGACATTTCCTTGAACTTTTAGTTTTAAATATTCACAACTTAAATAAAGGCTTTAAAAATGTAGTGTCTGTACTATGGAAAAAGTGATATGGACAGCAGTAATGTTGAAGCACCAGTTATAGCATGTGGGTAGGAGGAGAAGGGGAAGATTAGAAACAATTTAAATGTCCAAAACATAGAATGGTTAAAGGAAGAATGGTATACGCATATGATGTGATATTATAGAGCTATTAATATTTCATAGCTTTTATAACTAGTAAAATTATAGTCCCACTATTTATGGATACAGCAATGAAAATTATGGTCCCTATCTGGCACAGTGGTTAAGCATTCAGCTGGTAACCAAATGGTCAATAGTTTGAATTCACCAGCTGTTCTCTGGAAACTCTATGGGGCAGTTCTACCCTGTCCTATAGGGTTGCTATGAGTTGGAATCAACTCTACAGCAACGAGTTTGGGTTTGTTTGGTTTATTTTTATAGAATGGATAATTGAAATTAATCTTCTTTTCCTTCCTCCTTTTGTTAGGTATTTTCCTTCTTTCTATCTACCACTTTACAACTCTGGCTTAAATCCAGTATCTAAACTGTTTAGGCAGACACAATAATTGCTCAATAGAACAAGATGACCACTCACTATTAATCTGTCCTCCCATACAAACCAAAAAAAACCCACCTGATTTTCATTTAAAAAGATAAATGCTTAAAACTTGGCAGCCAACTGTAAATACATGTATAATCAGTAAACCACTTCAGAAAGAATTTCAGCAATCCTTTTATTCAGAAAAATAAAGCTTTTGAAATACATGCAATATGTGAGGAACCCATATATTACCTTCTAATCCTCTCTGCACGGGAGTGCCACTGATGCACCACCGATTAATCCCACTCAAGCGCTGAGCCATTTCTGCAGCCTGATGAAATGAGAGAAAGATTAACAACAACAACAACAAAAGACACAGGAAGAATGCAGGTGTTTGCTCATGGAAACCTACACTTCAGGTCAGAAGCACCTACTCTTACTTAACAGTTATCATACTCAATGTTTAATGTCATACTCAATGGGCTATCTTCTAGTACAGTGGTTCTTATTAGTGGAGGCTGCCACGTGCCTCCTGAAGAGGAGGGATAGTTCAAGCCTGTGTAGACTGAAAAGCTCTGAGAACGGCTGATACGTTCCCTAGACCACTCCATCCTCAGACATGAACTATACAATTCGAATATTCAGTTCGGGTTACAAAATGGTCAAAGAGGAAAGAATAAAGACATATAACAAATGAAGGCTGAATCAAAATTCTATTCTCTAAAGTAGTATTTTCTGTTATCATTTGGTCTCAGTCAACTTTACTCCAAAGCTATCAGAGCCTACATGATGAGCTTTCCTGTTAACAGAAATGCTTATGAAAGTCTCTAGAGTTTACTTTGATCTGCATCACATATAAACAGATATCTTATTTAAATAATATGGACATTGCATATAGAGCAAAGAGATTCACAGTACAAAAATAATTCCAAAGGGTTACACAGTTCATAGCATAAGAGAAAAACAAATGTAGAACATTTAATAGCAAACTTTTGATCAATATCAATACCGTGTGTTAACTAAAAAAAAAACTAAATTTTATAATGACAACTTCCTCTAGCCCCTTCCCCTTCTTTCTTCCCTCAACAGATTTTCCACAAATTCTCACTTTTACAGTAGGACATTCAACCATCTGAGCTTCATCGAGGCAGATCCTCCACCACTCCACAGCTACTAGGGGGCTGGGGATGGCCATATAGCGCTTCTGGTTCCGTAGGCGACGCCCATCCTCACTGTTGCTATGTGGGATATCTACATAGTTTAGCTCTGAACGAAGGACATCATAGGTAATGATAACTATATCCTGTTCTGCCAAAAAGTGAGGCTGCAAGAAGCCATCCTTCTTAACTCCTTGATATACCTAGGAAATAACCAGTGTAGACATAGTTACTGCAGAAGGGTTCATGAAAGATAAATGAAATATTCATACATTCAGACAGTTACTGAGCCCCTTCTATTTGCTTAGGACCACCCCAGGCTATAAAACACATGCCATACCCATCTAGAGAAAGATACATTTTACTGTGGAAGACTAATATCATAAGCAATGTGAAAGGAACTGTTAACAGAAGTAAATGCTAAAACATTATCACATATCATTATCATAGTGGAATAACTAATTCTACCACTGAGAAGGTAAATTCAGAGAGGAGTTAAAATTTGAGGTGAATCTGGAAAAACATTTAAGAGTTCCCAAAAGTAAAGGAATGGTGAAAAGGACTTTTAAGTAGTTGAAATAAATAGCATGTGCAAAAAAACACAATGGTATGAAAGAGTAGAGCAATAAAAGCTATCACTGATTGAATGAATAACTCTGAAGTTTCATATACCATGCGAAACATTATCTCTGATCTTCAAGAACAATCCTGTTAATAATTATTCTCATCTGACAAATAAGAAACATACAGTGACTTGCTCAAAACTGGCAGAGATGAGATTCAACACCAAATTTGCTGACCCCACAGAACAGAGCTCCTCAATAGCAAAAACTGTCTTACTTATTACTGTATTCTTCATGCCTATGATAGTGCTTGAAATATAGAAAATCTTCAATAATATTTGCGTGAAAAGAAGGAAGAAAGAACAAAGCAGTGAGGAATACTACTAGTAGTAAACAATAACACTGACTACTTACTATGTGTCAACACTTTATCGTATCATTAAATTTCCACAAGTCTGTGAGAAGATACTATTTTCAGAGCTGAGCAAAGTTTCTGGCACATAATAGATGCATGATAAATGTTTGTTGAATGAGTAAATTCTTAATTTATAGATAAGGTAATTGAGGCTTCAGAAGACGATTCTGGAGCTAAGTGGTGACAGATCAGAGATGTAGCTACTACTATACAATGTTGCCTTAGGATTACACTTCGGTCCCAGAGTACAAAGACTTTTTTCATTTGCATGATCAAAGATATTTTAAAAGTTTCCATGTCTTTCCACTCAAGAATGCTTTAACTTCTAAACATCTGAAGTTAGAAAAGAACAACAGTCTACTCTATTATAAAAATTTACAAAAAATTATAAAAACAATCATGAAGAAGGAAAAGTTTACATTTTCCTATCCCTCTAAAGAGCCCACAGTGCCTTACCAAGACTCGAAGAGATGAAGACCTCACATGCCTATTGATCTCATCCACCCACTGATGACAGATGGAACTTGGGGAGATGATCAGAGTTGCTCGTGTTGATACTGGCTCCATTGCAACAAGGCAGTGGGGGCAGTAAAATGGCTTAATCTTCAGATCCTTCTCTTCATAATTCACACATTTTGCATGTTGCCACAAGTGGCATTTCAGGCACTGAACGCGAGGCTTAAGGCCTATCTGGCCAAGTTCACCACATATGCACTCAAAGCGATAATCAGAGGGGTTACAGGGACTCATGATATTACAGCGTGGCCCATCACCATCACTAAGGTTTAGAGACTCAGCATGGTCCTCTGCGTTGGGCTCTGGCTTAACTTCAGAGACATATGTACTTTCAGACACAGAGGTATCGGTAATTCCAGAGTCACTGGCAGTTGGACACTGTCCTTGTGAGTTGGGACCGATGTCAGGTTGACTTTTTCCTCTTTTTGTGGATGAAACAGGCTTTTTCCTCAATTTACTACGATTTTTCCTGGGCTTATAATAATAATAATAAGGGTCATCATCATCATCAGAAGAATCTGATGGCAAGTATTCAGAATCAGCATCCTTGTTTCCTGATTTTCTAGATTCTTTCTGAATTTTCCTTGGACTCCCTATTGCCTATTAAAAAAAAGAATTAGTTAATTATTTCAACACAGGCAGGTTTCTGAAATTAAATTTCCAACTTTATCTATATGCTATACATAAAATTTCAATAGCCAGTCCTGGCTACTCCTTTCCCTGAAAAGAATCACTCCTGATCAGTGGCTTCCAATCCGTCCTCCTTAAGAAGCCTCTCTGTAGTCCGCAGATAAAAAGAGAGAGAGGAAAAACAAAAAGACGTAGGACGTGCTATTGTGCAAGTAAGATTTGGAGAAAGTGAAGAGTAGACAGATAAAGAGAGCTAATAATAGTTTGGTGCTAAAACAAACCAAACCCACTGCCATCAAGTCAATTCCAACTCACAGCAACCCTATAAGACATACTAGAACTGCCCTATAGGGTTTCCAGGGCTGTAAATCTTTACAGAAGCAGACCACATCTTTCTCCCACAGAGCAGCTGGAAGGTCTGAATCATCGACCTTTAGGTTAGCAGCTGAGCGCGTTTTACCACTGTGTCACCAGGGCTCCTCTAAAGTTTGGTACTACCTTCTTATAATTTAGTCTGTCTAAATCAATAAAATACTTTAGTAGCTTATAATACATAAATACACAAAATAAAGCAATTACAAAGATACCAAAAAATAAAATACAGCACTTAAGACGGTAAAAGTTAATCTACTAGTTACTACAACTAGCAAATAAATATTCCTTCTTGCTTCCTACGCTACCCTCCCGCAGATATTTAGTGAATGCCAACTCTGTGCTGGGCATCAGCTTAGGTACTGGAGACACAAAATAATATTTGACCCCTGGTCTCAAAAAGGTTTACTGGAAAAGAGAGAAAAGTTTAACAGGATAGACAACTATAATAGAAATTGGTCACGGCTAAGTATAGGATATTACAGCAATACATAATAAGCAGGATACCTAATATAGTTGGGGTGGCGAGGGGGAGGTAGGTGCCAGAGATAGCTTCCTGGAAGTGATGTAGAGCTGAGGTTTAAAAGATTTTAGGACACTTAACACTGAATCAGTGGCACTAATCGGTGAGATTTTCTTTTTTTTTTTGGTGGCAGCAAGATGACTAAAGGCACAGAAGTTCACTGAAGTCTTCTATCCTGACTTAATAGCCTGGGGGTAAAATGTTGGAGGAAATGAAATTTTTGTCTGCCACTTCTGTTACAGTAGCCGAGCTGATAGCTCCACATTTTGACTTGTCATCAGTCTTTCCTTGATTTCATTTGTAAATATTGTAACTATTTTCTTAAAAGTAAATGAAAATTACTGTCCCAACAGAAGCAGCTTTATGACAAAATATAAAATTTTTGAAAGAAAATGATGTAGGGAAAATCAGAACTATATAAAAGATTCAAACAGTATATAAAGTGCTATGCAAATTTAAGGTCTTTATAATATTTTTAAGTTTGGGACAAACTTTTTACCTGCTTAAAACACCATGATTAGGACAGTGAAGTTACTTTAAACTCTACAACATGCTTAACCAATTAATTTTATACTTCATTCAATAAATATTTACTGAGTATCTGCTACGCATTCTTCTGTGGGCTTAATGCTAACCAAAATAAAGTCTCTACTCTCAAGGAACTTACACTGAAAAAGTAGCAAACCTAAGCCAGAAATGTACATAGCTGTATGCACCTGTACTAACTACTTGGTTTGTTAATATGTATTTGACTTTCAGACTTTAAGAGTTTCAGTGTTAAGGCTGGATCTGCCAACTTATTCTGTAAAGTATCACATATAGGTACTTCATAAATGCTGTTACCTGCTTTTTTGTTTTATCACATAAATCCTCTTCCTTGTAATTCTTCCCCAATGTAAAAGTTCCAGAAAAACCATGGCCTTTGATCTGTTTCACAAGACCTTCGAAAATTAAACATTTCAGCATCCGTTTCAGAAGGCTCCTATTCCGCTGAACATCATATCTGTATATAGAACTGACATACTTATAGATGGAAATGATGGATACTCCTTTCTTCCCATTCATTTCTTTCACAGCTGTCAATAACATCACACGTGTGGCTAAATGCAAAAGAATATGCTAAGTCAGTTGAAACAACTGAAATTAAAAGACAGTAAGTATCAGCTAATCTTAATCCACACTGAGGACCAAGTTAAGAAAAAAATATTTCAAAAGATTTATTGCAGATAGGTTATCTGCTTAGTGCTATTTTGAAGAATATGTGATAAAAAATTATCTCAACACGTTAGGAAATAAATTACTGAGATGGAAATAATTCAAGGATGAGTAATTCATGTTAATTTGCTAATCTTGCAAATTAACTATCATTCAAAATTAAAAAAACAAAAACAACAACAATAAAAACCTCACAACTATCTAAGCATATGCTACCACTAGTAAGGGAAACACTCATTTTGGTAACAAAATCTGAAAGAGGTATACTAGAGAATAAACAAAGCCTAGTTTAAATTGTAAATTAAAAAAACTTAAGCATAATAGATGGAATAAGAACTACCTGGACCAAATCAAACATAAGAATTAACCTTTACTTTTGTTAAGAGAATATGATTTGTAATTAAATTCATTTATACAAACTATAAATCTGTAAAACAATTATTCATAACAATCACAAGACACCTCTACATGAGGATTACAAGGCACTATAACAAAGATCAATATAAACAGGTATTTTCTTTAAGAGACGTCATACTTACGGGGACATTGAACTTTTTCTTTTGGTTCAAATTCCATATTCTGGGTTTCTGTGTTTTTTACTTTTCCTCCAGAATAATGTGACGGAATAAAATAATTCACCATTTTTCCCTGATATAAACAACATTCAGTAGTCACACAGTGTTTTGCTTTCAGCATTCTGAATTGTTCAATAACATTAAATTTCTGTTATGGACTGAATTATGTCCCCCAAAAATATGTGTTGGAAACTCTAACCTCTATGCCTGTGGTTATAACCCTATTTGGGAGTGGGTTGTCTTTGTTATGTTAATGAGGCAGGATAAGTGTAGGGTGTATCTTGAGTCAATCTCTTATGAGATATAAAAGAGATTAAAAAAGCAAGCAGAGGACAGATGGGTAAGACAGATGCCGACACATGGAGATGTCCAAGGAACGAGGAAGCACAAGCTGAAGACACAAGGACCTTCCTCCAGAGCCAACAGAGAGAGAAAGCCCTCCCCTACAGCTGGCACTTTGAATTCAGACTTCTAGGCTCCTAAACTGTGAGAAAATAAATTTGTTTGTTAAAGCATCCACTTGTGGTATTTCTGTTATAGCAGCACTGGATAACTAAGACCGAATTTGGTACCGAGAGTGGGGTGCTGCTCTAACAGATACCTAACGTGTGGAAGCGGTTTTGGAACTGGATAATGGGCAGAGGCTGGAAGAGTTTTAAGGTGCCTAATAGTAAAAGCCTAGATTGCCTTTAAGAGACTGTTGGTAGAATTATGGATGTCAAAGGTGATTCTGGTGAGGGCTCAGAAGGAAGCAAGGAAAGCTAAAGAGAAAGTTTCTACTGTCTTAGAGAATACATATAGCACAAGCAACAGAATGTTGCTAGAAATGTGAACATTAAATGTGCTTCTGGCGAGGCTTTAAAAGAAAACGATGAACATGTGATGGGACAATGGAAGAAGGGCAATGCTTTTTATGCAGTGGCAAAGAACTTGTCTGAATTACATTCAAATGTTTGGTGGAAGGTAGAACTTGTACGTGGTGAACTTAGATATTTCGGTAAGGCTATCTCTAAACAAGATCTTTAAGGGGCTACGTGGTTTCCCTTTGCTGCTTCTAGTAAAATGTTGAGAGGAAAGAGATGGACTTAAAAATGAACTGTGAAAATGAAAGCAGAACTTAAAAAGGTTTGGAAAATTCTGTTGTACAAACTAAGGACACGTGTCCTAGAATGTTCACCAAGGACACGGCTACATAATCCTTTGCTAAAGAGATTAAGCCTGTGACTGAAGCATCAAACCACCTACCACAGCAGAAAACCCAACAGCTTAGACCAAAGGGGACAGAGAAAGAATGAAAGGAAAGAACGCTGTCTGCCTCTTGGAATTCTACAGGCAGGAAGCAGGTGAAAGGAGCTACATCTTTTGTCTTCCAAGAAAAGGACCATCCCTGGAGCAAGTCGGAGATCAGCAGAACTACTGGAAAAAGCACAGGAAGCAGGGCCTTCTGGGTTTCAAAGGGTAGGGGCATGGTTTCCTGGATCTCAAAGAGTGGGGCCACAGCCTCCTAGGTTTCAGAGATGGATCTTCACCAACTCAGTTCTGGAGTGTGGGGCTACTGTTAAGATGTGCCAGGGGATAGGGTTGCCACCCAAAGCCGAGGTGGGTGGGGCTGCCAATCAAGGGGCAGAAGAATGGGGCCTGCCGGGGCTGAGGGGGCAAGGTTGCCACTCAGATGGACTAGGAGAACGGGGCCACCCAAAGCCAGAGGAGCTGAGTTACCATCCCAGTAGGCCTGGAAGGTGGAGCTGAAGCCCAAGGCCGAGGGGCCTCCATACAGAATCCAGAGGGCATGGCCAACACCCAGAGTGTGGAGGGCAGGGCCATTGCCAAGACGGTCTCAGATAACAGAGGATTATTTTCAAGCCTTAAGAGCCAACGTAAATTGTTCTGTTGGGTTTTGGACTGGCTCGATGCCCATTATTCCTTCTTTTCCTTCAATTTCTCCCATTTAAAATGGAAATGCCTACCTTTTGCCTGTTCTATACCACTGTACTTTGGAAGCAGATAACTTGTATTCTAGATTTCATAGGCTCACAGATGAACAGGAGTTTTGCCCCAAGATGGAACATGCCTAAAGACTCACCTAGATTTGATTTAGATGCTTCAGAAGATGAGATTTTGGACTTGGAATTGATTTAAGACTTTTGCAATAATGTGATGGGATGAATGTGTTTTGCATGTGGCAAGAACATGAATTGTAGGGGCCAAAGGGTGGAATGCAGAGCCCTGGTGATGCAGTGGTTAAGCGTTGGTCTGCTAAACAAAAGTCAGCAGTTTGAATCCGCCAGCTGCTCCTCGGAAACCTCAGGTGGCAGTTCTGCTCTGTCCTACAGGGTCACTATGAGTTGGAATAGACTTGACAGCAACGGGTAAAGGGTGGAATGTTACAGACTGAATTATGTCCCTCCAAAACATGTGTTGTAAATCCTAACCTCTATAACCTGTGCTTATAATCCTATTTGGGAATGGGCTATCTTTGTTATGTTAATAAGGCAGGATTAGTGTAGTGCGTATTTTAAGTCAAACTCTTTTGAGATATAAAAGAGATTAAACGAGCAAGGAGAGGAGAGATGGGGTAAGACAGATGCTAAGACACATGGAGATCTCCAAGGAAAGAGGAAACAGAAGTTGAAGAGACAAGGACCTTTCTCCAGAGCTGACAGAGGGAGAAAGCCTTCCTTTAGAGCTGGTGCTTTGAGTGCAGACTGCTAGCTTTTTAAACTGTGAGAAAACAAATTTGTTTGTTAAAGCCATCCACTTGTGGTATTTGTTACAGTAGCGCTAGATAATCAAGACAACCTCTTATTGAGGAGATGCAAGACTTATAAAAAAAATAAGATTAAAAACCCATCGCATCAAGTTGGTTCTGACTCATAGTGACCTTACAGGACAGGGTAGAACTGCCCCATAGGGTTTCCAAGGAGCAACTGGTGGATTAGAACTGCTGACCTTTTGGCTAGCAGCCGAGCTCTCAACCACTGCACCACCAGGCTAGCCTTCTAAACTGTGATAAAATAAATTTGTTTGTTAAAGCCATCTACTTGTGGTATTTCCGTTACAGCAGCACTAGATAACCGAGTCAATCTTCTATTAAGGAGATGCAAGACTTGTTAGAAAAATATGATAGACAGGGCTAAATATGTTACTCGTACATATAAAGTTTTTTTTTTTTTTTAATTTCAGAGTGTACAGCAAACCATCACTTTTTAAAACTGTGCATATTATCTTAAATTATTTAAATGTTCAGTGTGGAACTTCCGAAATTAAGTTCTGAAAGCTTATTTAAATACAGAATTAACCAAATGAATTTATAATACTGAAAATAGTAACTTAGAATTAAAATATTTAGTGAGTAGAAAATCCAAGAAAGAAGCTACTGATAGTTAAAACTATATGCTCCAAGTCATTTTTCTACAAAGCAAACAGATTTTTTTTCTATTCCCTACTCAAATTTGAAAAGCTAATTTTGCAAACTTGGTCCTAACAAAAGATCACACAATCCTAAGGTTTGCAGCGAGCATAGTGGGTCCTAGAGATAATTACAGTTATCCTCTCAACTAATGGCCTCATTTTAGCAGGATTTAATGTGATGAATTCAGATTTCCTTATTGGAAGAGATGAGCTACAAGCCATATCTGCCTTAGTAGAGGATTTTTTGGTAAACTCCAAATTTATGTTTTTAAATACAATTATGCATTTTGGGACAAGGACTTAGAGTTTTGTTTCATCTAGCAATCTAATTACCAAGCCACCCATCTTTTAACAAAGCTAATTACTGGATTCTAAGACACAGTGGCTGCAACAATGGGCTCAAGCGTAACAACGATTGTGAGCATGGTGCAGGACTGGGCAGTGTTTTGTTCTGTGGTGCATAGGGCTACTATGAGTCGGAACTGTCCTGACGACACCTAAGAACAACGAGATTTACATATCTGAGATTTGAGGCATTTAAAAAAAATAGCTCTCAATATGGAGACTTGTAGTAAGTGACAAAGAAGTCCCTGGGTGGCGCAAATGGTTTGCATTTGATTATTTACCTAAAGGAGCCCTGGTGGTGCAATGGTTAAGAGCTAAGGCTGCTAACCAACAAATTGGCAGTTCGAATCCACCAGTACCTCCTTGGAAACCCTATGGTCGCTATGAGTCAGAATCGACTTGACGGCAACAAGTTTGGGTTTTTTTATTTACCTAAAGGTTGGAGACTCGAACCCATCCAGTAACACCACAGAAGAAAGGTCTGGCGATCTGCTTCCTTTAAGATTACAGCCAAGAAAACCCTATAAAGCAGATCTACTCTATAATATACGGGGTTGCCATGAATTGAAATTGACTCAATGGCAACATGTTTTGTTTGGTTTTTAGTAAGTGACAAAACGTTTGAGGAAGCAATAGTACTTTCTTAAAGAATTTCTCTGTCAACTAGAAGGATGCTTGGTAAGTGACTGCATATATCTTTCCTAGTTGGACAAAATCACTTAAAAAAATTCTGCTAGGTCACAAAAATCCCACATTCTGTGCCCAACTGAAGTTAACTAACAAGTAATGTAAATTATTAGTTGCAGAGTACACTGAAAGTATTGACTTAAGAGCTAAGCAAATGTTCAACATATGATGCTCTTTGAGAACATATGTCCCTTGCTTTCCCAAGCCGTACAGCCCACCTCCTACCTCAGGAAGAGTGAGAGCATCTTGTTTGACATCTTGTCGCGTATGTGTCAGAATCAGAGCCAAAACCTCCACTGTCTTTCCAAGACCCATCTCATCTGCTAAGATTCCACCAAGCAACTGTGGCCCAGCACTTGGGTACTCACGAATGATGCTAAAGGAAAAGATAAGAAAACACATTATAGAAACAATTAAATAGTATACTACTGTACTTTTTTTCAAATAACACACCCAAGCAAATAATGTGCGCGCACATGCATGCACACACACGCACAAAACGCGCATAGCGTGCTTAGAAAAATAACAGGGAGTTGCACGGTCGGCGAAAAAATGTTTAACGAATGTGTTATGTGCATAAAAATACAGTAATATTCCTAATTACCGTTCTTAAAGAGAAGTGGAAGAAACGTATAAATGTCTAAGTTTTTTGAAACCATATTTTAGTGTGAAACAATTCAGATCCCTAGATCATGAATATAAGATTTGTGATAATCAAAAACTGCCTGAATTAATAACCAAGCCTACAGAAACAAGAGTGGCACTGGTAAACAGCTACTGTTTTTCCTCTTCTATAATTAAAAGGGAATATGTCTGCCTTTTTTCTGTGACTTTTATGAATTTGTGAATAAAAAATATGAAGGGCAATACATAACTACTGCTTTACTTAATATGTTTAATGATTCCTAAAACTCGTAATATAAATTGACAAGTTTAATGAAAAATGTAAAAACTGGCATATAATAAACAAAATGACATTTTTACTTAGAATTATAATCTTGCTTTAAATATTGATAATTAAGTACCTTAAGTCTATTATTCTGCATTCATTTACTAAAAAATGACAAGTGCTACTTATGTCTACACTAAATTTCTAGTAAGATATTTAGTATTCTTTCTTGAGGTACTGCCAAGGCTAAAAACAATCTCATATCACTGTTCATGTTATTTATTTTTTTAAATCAAGCACATAAATAAATATTTGCCTTACCAGCCTGTGTATGGATTATAGTAGAGTTTCAAGCCCTCAGGCGTAACAATTTCTCGCCATAAGAAGTGCAGAGCATTTTCTAAAGAAAAATATAACCATAAGAACAAGTGTTTGTGTTTGCTTTTTGTTTGCCTTTCCACAAGATAAATTATATGCGGATAAGGAAAGAATCCCTCCAATTCTTTTCTTCTGATATTATTCTTTAGCTTCTTTTGCTCTGGCACAAATAGCTTCCATATAAGCAAGTGATATGACAGAAAAACAAAGTATAGTAAATTACAGAGGATTAACAGGAAAAGAAAACTAATACATATAACGAACTCTGACCCAATAAAAGAAAGATGCTTATCTTTTACAAACCCTTCAAAAAGTACTGTGAAGCTTTTAAATCATGCAACCAACATATTCTAGTCCGCTAATACATTTACCCAAATCAGACCTGATCTCTCATATGGGCCTGGAAGGGAGAGGAAAAGCTTACATAACTGAAGAAAAAAATACCTAAAACTATAACAAAAGTATTGAGTTTGTTTCAACCAGAATCTTCCACTACCCTTCACAGGATTTTAACCTGTCTAAACTAATTGCCAAATAACAAGTGTGTCTCTACCTATTAGTGAAAGAGCACGTGATTTTTTTGTGCCTTCTTTAGAGATTAATAGATGAAGTTGGAATACAGATCGACAGTGTTTATACGATGAAATAATTAAAGGATAAAAAGTGTCAGTTTAAGGGACCCAAAAGGGACAGAACATCCTAAATGACACATGGGGATTTGATCAACAAAATCTAGTCTGTGGACAAAAAAAATAAATTACATACACATACAGTATAAATGAATCTCAAAAACATTATGTTGAAAAAAACTAGACCAACTCCTCATCCCTCCCCAAAAGTATATATTGTATGGTTTCATTATCGTTCCAAAAACAGACAAAACAAATCTATGGTGACCGTGGTTGCCTCTGAACATGTTGAGGTAGGGGAACTGACTGGAAAGGGCTGTAAGGGAACTTTCTGGGGTGATGGAAATACTTTATATCAGCACTGTCAGACAGAAATATAATGTGAGCCATGTATGTAATTTTAAATTTTGTTATAGTCATATTAAAAAAAAAAAAAGGTGAAATTAATTTTCACAGTATATTTTATTTAGCCCAATATAACCAAAATATTATTTCAATATGTAATCAATATAAAAAATTATTAATGAGATATTGTACATTCTTTTTCTTGTACTATTTGAGCTCTGGTATTTCAGACTTCCTACACATCTCATTTGGGGTAATCACGTTTCAAGTCTCAAAAGCATATGTGTGGCTAGTGGCCATCTTTTAGACAGTGTAGCTCTATGATGGCTACACAGATGCCTACATTTGTCAAAACTCATCAAACTATGCCCTTAAGATCTGTGCAGTTTATTATAAGTTACACCTTAAAAAAATCAGTTAACTAAAGAAAAAATATTTTGGAAGAAAAACAATCTAGTTTGTGGGAAACTATGGAGCTAACAATTTCTTCAACAAATAAATTATGAGAGAAAAAAATATTTACTTCAAAATAATTCAGAGTATGGTGGGGGGGAGTGGGTAGAATAACATTGGCTATGAATTGTTTATTTTCCGAAATGAAAAGTTTATGTTGGATTAAAGAAAAACTAAAGACTAATACATGTGAGAAATAAGAGTTACTTGTCATTAAAATAAATCTATATAGAATCTATAGAGAAACAGTCAACACTTCATTGCCTAAAATCATGTGCTTATCCCTTTAAAAATAACGAGAAAAAAGTGGCAAAAATGATTCCCATAAATGTTACTTGCATGGAAACACTCAACAGATAACATTTTATTTTATAATTTACTTTGTGGAGTAAAGAAAATAAATACAACCTAGGAAAATTAGATTAGCCATAAATAAGTCTCCTATCTTTGTAAATTTGCTTTCTGTCACTAACGTTCATCATCAAATTGTGAAAAGTCTCATGCAGATAGATAATCAGCAAGATTCCTATCTGATCAGCTTTTAAAAGCAATTCTCATTGGGAAGGCATGTGAACAAATTTCTTGGTTTTTAATAATTTCCACCAAAGCAGCCTTATTTTGGCAGAAAGAAACAGTTCAAACTTTTATGGTTGAGGGAACTCACAAATGAATTTCAACTCACAAAAAGATTCAATTTTGAAGGATTTCTTAGAAAACAATTTTGTTCACAGTAACACCCATTCTAGCCTACTATCTTTTCATATGATTTTGTTTAATGATCAATTTTCTCCCCACCCCCTCTCTCGTATAATCCCTCTAACCAATCTGCCTTTTCTGAAAGCATCTTATACTTGCCACTGGCAGGAGCACTTCTGAAATGCTCTTGCTGTAGCATCCAATTGACAGCCTCTCTTTGGTAGGGTCTCAACACAGGAGTCAATGCGGGATGCTGGACATCCACTTGGATGGGCTCTGTTTCTTGCTGATGTGTTCGCTTCACAAAGTGATAGAGTTCATCAATGTCTTGTCCCTCTGGCTCACTCTCTGAATCTTCCTCATCCTCGTCCAAAACATCTGTACATCCAACAGCAAATGCACTCATAAAAACCCAACCCGGCTTTTATAACCAAGCAATTCTTGCTCCAAAACCATTTCATGCACTCTCCCAACTCTGGGCCGTTGCTCTGTGTGTTTTGTGCCTGGAATGTCCTATCCTTAATTCTTCACTGATTAAAACGCTACCCATTCATCTTACAAGGTAGTTAAACTGCTGCTTTGCCCAAGACATTTTCTTTTGTTTCTCCTGGTTGGAATTAAAATTCTTCTCTGTGCTCATGCAATATTTTAGACTTTGGTGACAGCAATATATTGCAATCTGTCCGGTATTACAATCATTTACGTGTATTCTGTCCCTTCTCCCATTAGCTCACATCTCTTTAGATGCCACCTATTGACTTATATATTGACTCACAAACATTTCTTGAGTAATTATTATCAGCTAAGCAAATAAAGAAAAAATAACATTAGTGAGGGCATTTCAAATAAGTATGATTTTGTCATACAGTGATTTTATGGAGGTTGTTTAATTTTTATTATAGTTTTATTAGCTGTGTTTTTCATTGTTATGCATAGCAGTTAGGGGGGAAAAAACTCACAACTCCTAGTAATAGCAATTTTAAAGTTACTTTAAAAATTACCTGGAACAATAAAATTGTATAATTTTTCCATCACTTTCTTCATGAGTTGATTGAACTTTTTCATTCTTGAATGTGCATCACTCATAAAGTCTAGTTTTGCTAGACCAGCTTCCAAAAGATAAATTCCAACCTACGAGGAATTAATCAATATAAAATTAGTTTTAATTGGGATATACCATTCTTTATGAAGACTTAGGAAAAAACATTTTTAGCATCACCTTTTTTTTTTTTTAAATATGGAATTCTTCATGAATTTGCACGTCATCCTTGCTCAGGGGCCATGCCAACCTTCTCTGTATCATTCCAATTTTAGTATATGTGCTGCCAAAGTGAGCACATGCATCATCATTTTTAAAGGTATTCATGTTTTCGCTCCACAAATACTAAATGATGTTGTTCTGTGCCATCAAGTAGATTCCGACTCATAGCGACCCGACAGAACTATCCTATAAGGTTTTCTAGGCTGTGATCCTTATGGGAGCATATCACCAGGTCTTTCTCCCAAGGAGCCACTGGGTGGGTTCAAACCACCAACCTCTCAGTTAGCAGCTGAGTGCTTAACCATTGCGCCACCAGGGCCCCTTATACTAAATGGTAACCCACATATTTTCACTTTCAATAACGAATTCATTCTACAAATGCAAATGTCTACTATGTGCAGTACACCATTTAAGTTATTGGAAAAAATTACTTCCCTAACTGGAACCAAACCTGGGCAAATGTTGTAAGAATACCTAATTCTATCTATGAAGTCAATGATTCCCAAATCTGATAAACATCAGGATCATCAGTGAAGTTTTTAAAAACACAGATTCCACTAGAAGATTCTGATGTATACACCAGGATTCTTATGCAGTTAGACTTGGGAATCCTTATTACTGCTTATCAAACACTAGAATGTAGAAGAAAACAAACTTTATAATCATATGAGGTTATAAGATTGTTAAGATTTTGAATCTTGAATCTAGGGAAGAAATGCAGCATGAATTTTTACAGTCAAGAGACTCAAATGTGAATAATGGCATTGATATTTAGGAGCTAAATAAACTCAAAATTGACTGCTTTATTTTGACTCAAATGTTCTCATTTGCAAAATGGAGAGAAATCTATATGAAATAGCCCATATAACACAAGTTTACAAGTGCCTAATGGCAGACAATAAATGTTATTAGTTCCCTTCATTTTCCTAGACTACTTTTGAACTTGAACCCCTTTATTAACCACTCATATTCTTTGACTAAAGAACAAGACTCCAACCAGCATTATACAGGAATAAGTGCCAGAGGTTTTATTATTTAATTATATCCTGCCTTCTCTTCACCTAGAATGAGATGGCATAATACAGTGGCAATAAATGTTTAAATATTTATAAATTTGGGATCAGGGAAAACAAATCAGAATAAGTCAAGACTTGGTCTGGGGTGGGGGGTAGAGAGAATACAGATATGCAGGCCATGAATTCATATATACTTGTAATCACTGAGCACAATTTTGGCACTCACAGTCAGTAAAGAGAAGGCTTGGTTACATACTTCTCACTGTCTAGGGAAAAATTAATTACAATTTAATGCTTCTAAATTTTTTCCTTTCCTGTCAATTCTGAAACTATAAATAGGGCTATCTATGCAACTGCTTATTAATATAAAATATGTGTGTAAGAGATAGTTTTCAATTGAATAAAGGTGAATTTAAAATTAGAATTTCTTTTCCTTTCATGTTTTAGCATGAAGGTATATTAACCTGCTTCATAGTTTTCAAAGTACATTTACTTACGTTATCTCCCGATTCTCAACATAATTCTATGAGATAAGAAGAATGGATATTATTTATATTTCATACAGAAAGAAGCTGAAATTGGAGCACTGAAATAATTCACAAAAAGTTACTTGGCTAGTGAATGGCAGAGCCTGAAATACATTATAAATTTATTCATTCGTTTATTAAAAACACTTTCGGTACCAGGAACTGTACCAGGCTCTGGGGATAAAAGAATTCATAGTCTAGTGGGGAAGAAAGATCCAAAATGCAAGTGAAAAGAATTCATAGTCTAGTGGGGAAGAAAGATCCAAAATGCAAGTGCACTACAAGGGGCCAATGCAAAAATAAACATATGCATCCGGTATTATTGGGCGGGGGCACATAACCCATCCCATGGGGTTTAAGAAAAGCTCTCCCTGGATGAAGTGAACTCTGACCTCTATATTTAAAAACTACCAGAAGTTACTCAGAGAAAAGGGAGGGGACAACTGAGGCAGAGAAGACTGTGAGAGCAAAAGCAAAGAAACAAACAAACAAAAAAAAAGCAGGGTATGTGCAGGAAACAAACCAATTTGGAGTTTGTGGAACAAAACATGAAGTAGAGTGGTAAAGGATGAGCTGGAGAAGTAGACAAGGGTCTATCAAAGGAGAGACTTGTATGCCAGATAAGAAAGATTATACTTAATTCTGTAGGTAGTAAAGAATAGAATTCCATTTACATTCTTCTCACAATTTCAGAAGCAAACTGGACTAAGGATTCGATAAGGCAAGACTGGAAAGAGGAAATGGTTAAACAACTGGTACAGTAAGAGCAAGAGTTGATGGCTCCAGAGCAAGTCATTGAGAGCAGAGATGGAAATGAGGAAGGAAGAAAAGAAACCAAGAAGGCCTCCTTATGAAAAAGTACAGCCTGGAAATGATTAGCTATAAATTTTTATAGTTCTTGAAAACCCAAAATAAAGTGTTTGAAATTTAGTAATGAGAGGCTTATTGCTGATTTTTCAGAACCTCCTTCTCTCTAAGTATACTTCAAAATGGACTGCCAATGTAGAAGAACCTTAAAAGACACCACAGAAACTGCGTACCTTGATAACACGGTTTCCTTCTGGTCTTTGGTAAAGTTTTATTCTTCTCTTCTTTTGCAGCCACCCCAAATCTTCTAACAGTTCACTACTGAAGGATGACTCCACCTGAATACCCTTTTCACAAATACTAACTGGTTCATTGAGCCCTTTTTCTTCTTTTTCCGCATCTCCACATTCTGAATGAACATAGACCAGTAACTGATTGCTTGACTCTGAACTCATTAACGTAAAACTCCTTTGAGAAAAATTTTCAACTAAGCTTTCTTCAGGAAGAAGCTGAAGAGTTAATTCTCCTAGAAATGCTTTCCAGGAATTATCTAGGTGATAGGGAGCTATCACAATATTCAACTTTATAAACAAAGGGGGAAAGCTACCAACAGTCTCTTCCCTATCAACTGAGTTTGAAACGCTCGCTGGCTCTGTACACCTCTTCTTATCTCTGTGAGCCACTTCTTCCTTTAGACTATCATCCAGGATGATGCAGTGAGAAAAAGAGGAGTCTGAACCTGGACAGGGCTGCTCGTCATCACTTAAGGTTAGAGGTTCGTTCCTTCTGTCTTCATGCATATTCCAACAAAGCTGCTGCTGCTTTTCTTCATCCATCCTCACTGGAGGAGCACGCTTCCGTCGGCTGCTCATTTTCAAGTTTTCTTGGTTGGTAAATGTGAACTCTAGAAGACATATGTAACAGTAAGCATTCCAGGAGAGGATTTTAGTGTTAAAGAACTCACAGATAAGGAATGCGGCATAAGCTTATAGTCTATACCCATAACATGAAATCTTCAGACCAGTTGCCGTTGAGTCGATTCTGACTCATGGCAACCCCACGTGTGTCACAGTAAAACTGGAGAGATAAACAAAGGAATGGATAATTTTTTAAATAAGTCAAGTAGAGGTAAGGAACACATGACCATAATCTCATGCATCAAATAAATTCTAATGGTCTTATTGGCCTTTAATGGATAAATTTGGTAAAGAAATTTATTGAATAAAGTCTAGAAATATTTAATAAGCAGATTAATAGTAAGGTAAATATCTCAAATAGCCTGGAAATGCTTATTTGAAGTGTTTCATAACATTTAAACTCATTATTATCACTACAGAATTTTATTTTTGTTTTATAATCCCAAAGAGTTAACAAAACTTCATTTGACCTTCATATACCTTAAAACCCCCTGAAAAAATACCTTCTCCTTCAAAAGAGGAAAATTAAAACACACAAATGTACTTCTTGTTATGGATTAGCAGATAAGAAGCGTAGCTGGGCAGGGAAAAAGGTGGTGATGGCAATAGGGAAAATGAGGCAGAGAAAGAATAAAAGAAGAAAGAGAAGAAAAGTGTAGGGGAAAAAAAGAAAGCTTGGTTATCTCAAAAGAAGAAACTGGGCTAAAAGCACTCCATTTAACATGGGTCCCAAACTTTACTTTCCCCAAAACAATAGTCAATTCCTATATGAAACAGGAGAACTCAGAGACTGAATCATAGAAAAAGTCATAACGATGGCCAGTGCCTGCTACAACCATGTTGCTGAAAAAAACTGATGCAGAAACACTTAAAATTTGGCTTCAAATGCAGTTTAAGAAATGTTCTCAATAATTCCAATTATAAATAAAACCCAATCACATTATTTACTGAGTCCCCACCAAGTATTCAGTACTGTGCTGTATTTTAAGGGAAGATACAAAAGAAGTATAAATCAAATCATGATCTCTAATTCAGTATAGATGATAAAGCGTGTTTTGGTTTCTGAAAGACAAACAGAGCACAGACAGCAGCCTACAACTCTATCTCCACCAACTTTCCACCTCTAACTATCCTGCTCTACATCTAGGAAACAATGAGAAATGTGTTTTAAAGAACCAATTCAGGAATACATAAACCCAAAACCAAACCCGTTGCCGTTGAGTCGATTTCAACTCATAGCGACCCTACAGGACAGAGCAGAACTGTCTCAAGGAGTTTCCAAGGCTATAATCTTTATGGAAGCAGACTGCCACATCTTTCTCCTGCAGAGTGGCTGGTGGGTTCGAATTGCTGACCTTTTGGTTAACAGTTGAGGGCTTAACCACTGAGCCACCAGGGCTCCTTATTTGAAAATATCATGCCCACAAATTTTCCAAATTTGATAAAAATAAAAAACCCACAGAACCAAGAAGCTCAATGAAACCCAATCAAGGTAAAACAAGGACAAACAAAGCAAGGCACACCATAACTAAACTGCTGAAAAGCAAGGACATCTCTCCAGGTTAGCCCTATCTCTCCAGTTTAGTCACTTCTCCCAACCTAGAATCCTAAATTCAGCAAACAGTCTTTCAAAAAATGAAGTTAAAAAAAAAGAGATACATTTTCAGACCAACAAAAGATAAGCAAATTGATCATCTTTAGACGTACATTACAGGAAATATTAAAGGAAGCTCCTTAGGCAGAAAGAAATGATGTTAGGTGGAAATTTAGATCTACTCAACAGAATCAAAAGCATCAGAAATAAAAAAATATGTAATGAAAATATAATAACTTTTTTCTCCTTTTTAAATTTCTTTAAAAGATAACTATTAAAAATTTTAAAAAACTTTTTATTCTGAAAATTTTCAAACACATAAAAACAGACAGAATAGTATGATGAACATTCATACCTATCACTTAGATCGAAAAATTTTTTTATTGAGATAAAATTAACGTACCATAAAATCACCACTCTATTTTAAAGTGTACAATTCAGTGGGTTTTCGTATATTCACAATGATGATCAAACATCACCACTACCTAACTCCAAAATATCCATCACCTCAAAAAGAAACCCCTTGTTTCCCAATTTTCCCTTCACCATCCCCTGGCAACCACTAATGTACTTTTTGTCTCTATATAGATTTTTCAGTTCTGAACATTTCATATAAATGGAATCATACAATATCTGGCCTTTTGTGTCTGACTTTTTTCACTTAGAATACTGTTTTTAAAGTTCATCTCTGTTGTAGTATGTATTAGTACTGTATTACTTTTTAAGGCTGAATAATATTACATTGTGTGTATGTATATAAGGAGCGCTGGTGGTACAGTGATTAAGCAATCGGGTGCTAACTGAAAGGTCAGGCCGGCAGTTCGAACCCACCATCTGCTCTGCAGGAGAAAGATGTGGTAGTCTGCTTCTATAAAGATTACAACCTTGGAAACCCTCTGGGGCAGTTCTACTTCATCCTATAGGGTCGCTACGAGTCGTAATCGACTCGATGGCAATTTTTTTTTTTTTATGACTAATGATGCTGAGTATCTTTTCACATACTAATTGACTATAGCAAAAACAATAATCATGTATTGTAGAGTTTATAACATGTGCTAGTAAAATGGAGGCAAACAATAGTATACAGTGAAGAAAAAAGTAGAAATTGAAGATCTAAATAAATGGAGAGATGCTATGCTCATTCCTGGACTGGTAGACTTAATACTGCCAAGATGTCAATTTCTTGATACTGATCTCTATAGTGAAAGCAATCTTATTACAAATCCCAACAGGGTTTTTTTTGGGGGGGAAAGGAGCTTGAAACTGGCAAGCTGATCCTACAGTTTATATTGAAATTCCTAGAATCTAGAAGAGTCAGAATAATTTTGAAAAAAGAAGAAGAAAGTTGTAAGATTTACACTGATTCCAAGACTTACATCTACAATAATCAAACCAGTGTGGTTCTGGGGTAAAGACAGATCAACCAAACAGAACAGACTCTGTAACAGACCCACACATACACGGTCAATTGATTTTTGACAAAGTTCAAAAGCAATCAACAGAAAAAGAATATCTCTTTTGATAAGTGGACATCCATACGAAAAAAAAATTAACCTTGACCTTTACTTCACCTTATATATAATAATTAACTCAAAATGAATCACAGACTAAAATATAAAAGATAAAATGATACAACTTCTGGAAGAAAACAGAGGAGTAAATCTAAGTGACCTGTTATTAGGCAAAGATATTTTAAATAGGACACAAAAAGCAGAGGCTATAAACTCAAATGTTAATCGCAGCTTTATTAATAAAAGCTCCAAACCGGAAGCAACCCAAATATCCATCAACTGGTGAATAAATAAATTGTGGCATATTCACACAACGGAGTATTACTCCTTGATAAAAAGAAACCAACTACTGATACATACAACACAGATGGATTTCCAAACCATTACGTTAAATGAAGGAAGCTAGATGTGAAAGATCACATATTGCATGACTGCATAAAATTCCAGAAATGGCAAAACCTAGTGACAGACAGCAGATCAGTGGTTACCAGAGGCCAGGAAGTAAGGAGTGGGGCTTGAGAGCGAACGAGCAAGAGGGAAAATTTTGGAGTGATGAAAATGCTCGATTGTGTTGGTGGTTATACGATTATAAACATTTGTCAAAATTCATCAAGTTGTATACCAAAAATTGTTGAATTTTCTTATATGAAAATTACACCTTAATAAAGCTACTTAAAAAAAAAAATGAAAAACAGATGCAGGAGGAATTTAAAAATTATAAGAGCATATTAAGAACGGTTTTATTCCAATAAACTTAAAAATCTAGAAAAAATGGCCCTAGAAAAAGAAATTCTGATTAGACCAAAAGCCATATGAGAAACTTAGTATTACTTTCCTATCCTTTTCCTTGCTTACAGAACTTTTATTTTATTTAGGAACATGATGGTCCTGTGACTCAAAGGATCGTGGTTTCCTCAGCAGCCCCAAGAAAGTAGATTTTGATTTGTTTCTGTTTGTGCAGTCCAATAAGGTAGCCACTAGCTGCATATAGCTATTTAAATCTAAATAAATTAAAATTAAATAATATTATAAATAAGGAGCCCTAGTGGCGCAGTGGTTAAGAACTTAGCTGCTAACCAAAAGGTTGGTGGTTCAAACCCAGCAGTCACTCTGCGGAAAAAAATGCGGCAGTCTACTCTTGTAAAGATTTAAAGCCTTGGAAATCCTATGGGGCAGTTCTACTCTATCCAACAGAGACGCTATGAGTTGGAATAGACTCAACGGCAATAGGTTTGCTTTTGTTTAATATGATAAATTCAGCCCCTCAGTGACATGAGCCACAATGAAAGTCATATGTCTCTATACTTAAAAAACAAAACAAAACAAAACAAAAAAACCCGTTGCCATCGAGTCGATTCTGACTCACAGCAACCCTACAGGATGGAGCAGAACTGCCTCAAAGGGTTTCCAAGGAGCGGCTGGTGGATTTGAACCACTGACCTTTTGGTCCTTAACCACTGTGCCACCAGGGCACTAGTGGCTGTTACCTCATGGAAACCCCAGGTTCTTGCTTGGCATGACTTGTATTGGCCAATAAACGAGAGACCGAGGTGGGAGAACAGGAAAGCCTACTTTATTTCGTTGTATAAGGAAAAGGAGTCAATCAGAGCTGCTGCCGCCAAGACTGCTCCCCAAGGGTAAGGAGACAAGTTACTTTTAAGGGGTTTACAAGTAGGGAGTTCATACAAGTTATGTCAGCAACATTCTTAATCATATTATGCAGGCGCAATGGGGTTTACATACAATCTCCAAGCAAAAGTGGGATTCAAATGCAAAGCTGGTGGGGAGGAAGCCCAGCAAAGGAAACAGGATTTTTAATGCAACACTGTGCGGGAGGATGCCAAGCAAAGAAAATAGGATTTTTAATGCAATACTGTGGAGG